GCAGATCCGCGGGGTCAGGGTCCAAAAATACAAGGGATTTGCCACATTTCTGAAATTCAGTGCCACCCCTCACGCAGATCCGCGGGGTCAGGGTCCAAAAACACAAGGGATTTGCCACATTTCTGAAATTCGGCGCCACCCCTTACGCAGATCCGCGGGGTCAGGGTCCAAAAACACAGGGGATTTGGCACATTTCTGAAATTCGGTGCCCCCCTTCACGCACATCCATCGCAAGGCGTGGTAACCCAAACTGCGAGAACTCCCTCGGCCCTTTAATCGCAAGGTGTGGTAACCAAGCCCGTAAACCATACACGTCTTACCAATCGCCAGGTGTGGTAACCCCTCTTGTGATCAGTTGGTTTTGCTGATTGCGAATCGGCTTCGCATGAAGTTTCGATACTGCTTCACGACAGCGCCAAGGCCTCATGACTTAGCTCTTCCATGGCCCATTCTCCGAGAGAGGGGGCCGGCGGCAGGGGGCGAAGCCCTTACGGATAAAGCGCAAGGAACTCTTAAGCGGGAGCGCCTTTCTTGAGTAAATTGTGAGGAAGTCTCAGACGGGAGGGGGGGGTCCTGCCCTGGCTAAATTGCACGAAATCCCAAACGGGCGCGTCGATCCAAAGTAAATTGGGAGGAAGTCTCAGGCGGGAGGGGGGGTCCTGACTAAATTGCAAGGAAATCACAAGCGGGAGCGCCGATCCAAAGTAAATTGGACGGAAGTCTCAAGGGGGAGCGGGGGTCCTGAGTAATTTTGGAGGAAGTCTTAAGCGGGAGCCGTTGTCGTTGTAGTTCGGGGGAGCAACAACGCAGTTTGACCCGGACTAAATTGTGAGGAAGTCTCAGGCGAGAGCGCCGTTCTTGAGTAAATTGGGAGGAACTCTCAGACGGGAACGGGGTTCCTGAGAAAATGTGGAAGAAGTCTAAGGCGGGAGCCGTTGTTGTTGTAACCTGGGGGCCAGGGGAACAGTTTGAGCACCAAGACTTTCCTTGATACATAAACAGGGTGCGAGCACCGGGAGGGGCACACTTTGACGGGAAAAAATATGCACTGGTGAAATGGGATCAACAAGAATTGTTGTTCAGAAGTGAGAGTTCAACAACAACAACAATAAGTTTAAGACCGTTCGCCCTTGTATGCTCGAGTGTCCAATAACGCGTATTTCCCAAACCTTCGATACCCGCCCTCTTCGTTTTCGATCGAACCCCTTTTGGGGGGTAGACCTTTCTTCCCTGCAGGCCGGGCCCCGGCAAGCGGCGGGGCGGCCGCGGACCGTCGGCCTGGCCAGCGGCAGCGCTGATCGGCGGGGCGGCCGCGGACCGTCGACCCGACCCCAAAAGGGACGGACAGGGGACCGACCACGACGACGACGACGTCGACGACGACGGCGACGACCACGACGACGACGACGGCGTTGACGAGCGAAAGCGAGAGCGAGAGAGAACGACAGCAGGGCCACGAAGGGCACGAAGTAGGCCACGAAGGGCGACAGCGGGGACACGAAGGAAATGCGTATGGGGCCACGAAGAGCGCGAACGAGCGGGGGCCACGAAGTGCAGATAATGCGGGGCCACAAAAGGCAACTATGGGGCCACTGAGGGTAGCAACTGGGCCACGTAGGACAGTGAGGGGGACACAAGTGGCGACAGCGGGGCCACGAAGGGCATGCACATGGGGCCACAAAGGGCGCGACTCCTGGGTGCCTCGGTGTCGGGAGCGCGGCGCTTGGGCAAATTGCAAGAAATTCCAACGCAAGGCCATTCTTCAGTAAGTTGCAAGCAAGTCTCCAGCGAGAGCACGACTCCAGAGCGCCGGGAGAACGATTCCTTAATAAATAATACGGAAATCCCAAGCGAGAGCGCGATTCCTAAATAAAATGCGAGGAAGTCTCGGGCGGGAGCGGGGGTCCTGGCTAAATTGTAAGGAAGTCTCAGGCGGGAGCCGTTGTTGTTGTAACCCGGGGGCCACGGGCCCAGTTTCAGCAGGAAGACTTCCCCTGTCAAAAAACAGGATGCGAGCGTCGAGGGGCACACTTCGATTGAGAAAAAGCAGTATGCACCGGTGGGGGGGACCAACAATAATTATTCTTCAGAAATGAAAATTCAACAACAACAATAACAACAGCAACAACAACAACAACAACAGCAGCAGCAACAACAACAACCACAGCAACAGCAACAGCAACAGCAACAGCAACAGCAACAGCAACAGCAACAGCAACAGCACCAACCACAACCACAACCACAACCACAACCACAACCACAACCACAACCACCACCACAACAACAATATGTTTGAGACTGTTCGCTCTTATCTGCTCGAGTCTCCGTTGACGCGTAATTTCCAAACCCTCGACACCCGCCCTCTTCGTCTTCGATCGTACCCCTTTTGGGGGGTAGACCTTTCTTCCCTGCAGGCAGGGCCCCGGCAAGCGGCGGGGCGGCCGCGGACAGTCGGCCTGGCCAGCGGCAGCGCTGATCGGCGGCAACCCAACCCCAAGGGGGACGGACAGGGGACCGACCACGACGACGACGACGAGCGAAAACGAGAGCGAGAGAGAGAACGACAGCAGGGCCACGAAGGGCACGAAGTAGGCCACGAAGGGCGACAGCGGGGACACGAAGGAAATGCGTATGGGGCCACGAAGAGCGCGAACGAGCGGGGGCCACAAAGGGCAGATAATAGGGCCACGGACGGCAACGACGGCAGGGCTGCAACGGGGCCACGAAGGGCGACAGCGGGGCCACGGAGGGCATGCACATGGGGCCACGACGGGCGCGAACGAGCAGGGGCCACGAATGGCATGCATATATTGGGCCGCGGAGGGCAAGGACGGGGCCACTGAGGGCAGCAACGGGGCCACGAAGGGCAGCGAGGGGGCCACGAAGCACGACAGCGGGACCACGAAGTGCATGCATATGGGGCCACGACGGGCGCGGACGAGCGGGGGCCACGAAGGGCATACATATATGGGACCACGAAAGGTAGCAACGGGGGCCACGAAGGGGGTAGCGAGGGGGCCACGAAGATAGGGCAGCGAGGGGGCCACGAAGGGCTACAACGGGGCCACGAAGGGTAGCGAGGGGGCCACGACGAAGGGCAGCGAGGGGGCCACGAGGGGCTGCAACGGGGCCAGGAAGGGCAGCGAGGGGGCCACGAGGGGCTGCAACGGGGCCAAGAAGGGCAGCAAGGAAGCCACGAAGGGCTGCAACGGGGCCACGAAGGCAGCGAGGGGGCCACGAAGGGCTGCAACGGGGCCACGAAGGGCAGCGAGGGGGCCACGAGGGGCTGCAACGGGGCCAAGAAGGGCAGCAAGGAAGCCACGAAGGGCTGCAACGGGGCCACGAAGCGCAGCGAGGGGGCCACGAAGGGCTGCAACGGGGCCACGAAGGGCAGCGAGGGGGCAACGGCTGCACCCGATTCCTAAATAATGTGTGAGGGAGTCATAGGCGTGAGCGCGACTCCTGAGCGCCTGAGTGTCGGGAGCGCGGCGCTTGAATAAATTGCGGGAAATTCCAGCGCAAGAGCGCTATTCTTGAGTAAATTGCAAGCAAGTATCCAGCCAGAGCGCGACTCCAGAGCGCCGGGAGAGCGATTCCTGAATAATAAATTATAAGGAATTCCCCAGCGAGAGCGCGATTCCTCAACAAAATGCGAGGAAGTCTCAGGCGGGAGCGGGGGTCCTGGCTAAATTGTGAGGAAGTCTTAAGCGGGAGCCGTTGTTGTTGTAACCCGGGGGCCAGGGGCACAGTTTGAGCCTCAAGACTTTCCCTGATTAAAAAAACAGAGTGCGAGCGCCGGGAGGGGCACTGCAATTGAGACAAACAGTATGCACCGGAGGGGGGTAAACAATAATTATTCTTCAGAAATGAGAGTTCAGCAACAACAGCAACAACAGCAACAACGGCAACAGCAACAGCAACAGCAACAGCAACAGCAACAGCAACAACAACAACAACAACAACAACAACAACAACAACAACAACGCAATGGGGAGACCAAAAGGTACCGATTCCGCTGCTACACGGACCTCTACCGGGGTGCGTTGCCAGCATTTCGAGGCGAATCCAGCGGCGGCGACGAGGGCATCCTGCAGGAGGCCCACAAAAGGGGAAAACGGGCGAAGGGTAGCAGTATCGGTACCTTGTCCTCCTCGTTAAAGGCTTAACGACTGATGCCGTCCTTCGACTCGCGCTGGAGCGGCCGCGAGTTGCTCCAACTTTCCTTGGAGATCTATGGATTTACCTGGATCTACCTGAATTTATCTCGATCTGCCTGGACTTACCTGGATGCACCTTGAACTATCTGCATTTACATGGATTTATCGGGCTCGATCCCCAAGAGTCGATTGGCGAAAAGTCGACAGGCCCTTCGGGACCTCTCTGAAGCAGACAATCAGGCATGGCAGGCTTCCGCGGCAGTGGCGCCCGCGCCAGCTCTGGCCGCGCCGCGCGGGCAGCTCCAACACCCCGCGGGCCGCCTCAGCACCTCCGGGGTGCCCCGGAGGCCGCCGAGGGCCTCCCGAGCTTGGACCGCCCGGCGCCCCGCGCTGCCAGCGAGCCGCGGCGGAGCGCGAGCACCTGCGAGCCCTAGCCCTGCACCCCCCACGACCTCTGACTGGGGAGGGTGGGGTATGGTTCGCATGTGGCCCCCTGTCTGTGGGCAAGGAGCCCGAGATCCGATGTCGCGATGTCTTCCATGCGGGGTCCCCGGAAGCCTCGACCCGTTCCCCAGGACCGGTGTTTCGTCCCGAGTCGTCTTTTCACGGTCCCGAGGCGCGGCGAGGGCCCCGAGGGGCCGGACTTTGCGAAAAACCTCCGCCTTGATTTTGTTCACTACGTTCTCCCCCTCCTCCTCCTCCTCCTCCTCCTCCTCCTCGGGCAGAGGGCCAGAGCGACAGGCAGGGGGGCGGGCGCGGAAAGCATACAGGCAGAGCAGAGCAACAACAACAAAAAAAAAAACTGGGCGCGGCGCGGCGGGACCCTGGCGGGGGGGGGCGCGCTCCAGCTGCGTGCGGGTGGCCAGCATGGCGTCCTTGATGAACTGCCTCGGGGGGGGGGGGGGCTGGATGGGGGGGAGGGAGGGACCCAGAACCCCTCGAATCATGAAAAAACACGACGGAAAATTGTTCTATATTTTCGGCCTCTGGGGGCCCTTACCGGCCCTCGGGACCGTCAAAAAACGATTCAGGATGAAACCAGTCCCGGCGAATAGGTCTGGACCTCTGGGGGTCGCGTAATGAACAAATCATGACGTCGGGGTTCTGGGGAGGGGACTGTGGAAAAACATATACATATAAAAACGTGTTTGTTTTTCCAAGTTGTTCTTTTGTTGCGTGTATGTTTGTCCACAGACGTGTTTCTTCCGCGTGCACGCATGCTGCCTTTTTGGGGCTGCAGGGTCCTGGGTGTATAGCCGTCGTCGCCACGGCTGGACTCGCCCCGACAGCACACGACACGACTGGTCGGGGCGGCTCTCCGGGACAGCTCCGGGTTTCGGCTGCGAGGGAGGGAGACAAGGAGGAGCAGAGGAGGCGGAGGCTCTCCTCCCCCAGCAGGCCCTCGATGCCGTGATCTTCCGATCCCCCGAGGCCTCGGACCCTTCTCCAAGGCTGGCGTTTCATCCAGAGCAGTTGTTTGACGGTCCCAGGGCACAGCGAGCACGAAGATTGTGAGCGTGTTTTTTTTCTCTGGCGTTTCGACGTTGGGCGGCAGGGTGAGGGGGGGGGTCTGGCTCCGAACCTCGGCTTCGCGCGACTGTTTGCAACGGTGCGTCTTATGGGGGAGGCTCCACCTGCCTGAAACAGGCGGTAATCTACTCCACGGGGTTTGGGGGTGTGCGAGGGCCCGCGCCGATCGGGAAAACTTAAATCGGGCCTGTCCTCCTACAGATGGATTTTGGACGAAAAATGGAAAATGGTCCAAAAATACCCTAAAATGTCGAAACAAATGTTCATAAATCGTCCCCAGACTATATTTTACTATTCTTGAATATTCCTCCTGTAGAGGGACGGGCCCGACTTAAGGGAAAACAGCGGATAAGAAAACGATTGCACTGCCAAAAGCCGCCCGTCTCGACGCTTGCGCGACGCGCTCTGGCTGGGAGGGCCCCCGCGTCGACGGCCGCACGCGCAAGTGCGGCCACCGCCACGAGCGACCCTTGGTGCGCGGCTTTGGGGGGCCGCGGGCCAGCCGACTCCAGGCGCCTGCGAGCCCGCGCCAAACCCTGAGATCCTGGCGACCCAATTTTTCCGAGACGGGCGTTTGCGTCTTGTTTCGAGACCCGGGGCCCTCCCAGATCCATCCGGCTCGACAAATGACGCAGAAAGATGGGGTCCGGGGCTCCGGGCTCGGATTTTCACGATGTTGTAATGGTTTCCCTGCGTCGGATCTCAAGGAAGGCCACTCCGGCGAGGTGCCACTCTTGCGTGTCGCCGGTGTCGTCCTCCCGCCGACTGCGCTCGCCGGCCCCCGCCCGCCGCCTCGGGCCACACACACACACACACACACACAACGTCACAACGCCATGGATAAAAGCGGTCGGAGTTCCGCGCGAGGTTCTTGGAACGGCGCTGGACCCCCCTCCCCGGCGCGCTCAAAAAGTTTAAGACTATGCAGGTGCTTCTTCTTCTTCTTCGACCCCTGGCGTGGCCTTGGCCCTCCTGGCGGCCTGTCCCCCCGGATGGGGATGTAGGCCCTTCGTGCTTCGAGGGACCAGTTCCCAACTGGCGTGGTGGGACGGTGGGGCTGAGATGCGATGGCCGGCGGAGGTTGCGGCAGTGTGGCCTGGCGCGTGGGCGCGTTGGGGAAGGCACCCCCGAAGCACGAGGCCAAGAGCGCGCCGATTCCGTGCCGAAGCCAGGCCCGCCGCCTAGCCGCGCGCCCCAGTCCATGCTTGCGCCTCCTCGTCCCCTTCGCGCCACGTCCTCCCACTGGCAAGCCGCCCGCGTAGAGCGCTCGGTGCGTAGCCGGGGGCCCAGCGCAGCAGTGCCGCCAGGGGCGCCCTCGGCGCCAAGGCGTCCTCCCATCCCTTTCATACCTCACCTCTCGCCTCATCCTTCTCCTCCTCCTCCTCCTCCTCCTCGTCCTCCTCCTCCTCCTCCTGCTTCTCCTCCCTTCGAGGCGCGCGGGCACCGACCGTCCGCCTCGCAGGCTGCTCGTCCTCCTCTTCCTCATCCTTCTCCTCCTCCTCCTTCCCGAGAACAATGTTTTGGCATGCTTCAGGGTCTCCAAACGGTTGTCTTCCAACGTTTGCAGTTCCCTCAATGGAAATGAACTGTTGTAGGGGCCCATGGAAAGGGAGCTTGGAGGGAGGTTTATTTCAACATCGTTGATGACTCTTGGGTTTACACTGGTCCTCCTCCCTCTTCTCTTCTCGTCTCCTCCGCCTCCTCCTCCTCCTCCTACTCCTCCGCCTCCTCATTCTCCTCCTCCTCCCTCCCTCTCCTCCCTCCTCCTCCTCCTCCTCCTCCTCCTCCTCCTCCTCCCTCCTCCATCCTCCTCCCTCCCTCCTCCTTCCTTCCTCCTGGCACTGGGATTAATTACATCAGGGTCCCTGGGGACCCTGCTACCCTCCTCCTACTCCTCCGCCTCCTCCGCTACTCACTCCTGCTTCCTCCTGTTCCTCCTGCTCCTCCTCTACTATCCTATCTCCTCCTCTCCTCCTCCTCTCTCTCTCACCTCCTCTCTCTCCTCTCCTCTCCTCTCCTCCTCTCCTCTCCTCTCCTCCTCTCCTCCTCTCTCCTCCTCTCCTCCTGTCCTCCTCCTCCTACTCCTCCGCCTCCGCCTCCACCTTCTCCCCTCCTCCGCCTCCGCCTCCTCCTTCGTTCTCCTCATCCTTCCTTCTCCTATTTCTTCTCATCCTCCTTCCTCCTCCCTCCTCTCTCCTCCTCCTCCTCCTCCTCCTCTCCTCCTCCTCCTCATCATCATCATCAGCATCAGCATCAGCAGCATCATCATCATCATCACATCATCATCAATCATCAGCAGCATCATCATCATCATCTCCATCATCTCATCATCATCATCATCATCATCATCATCATCATCATCATCATCATCATCATCATCATCATCATCATCATCATCATCATCATCATCATCAGCATCAGCATCAGCATCAGCAGCAGCAGCATCATCATCTTCATCATTCTCCAGCCGCCGTCCCTGCTCGAGAGCTCTTCTGTTTCTGCTGCCGGCGGCTGCGCCCCTCATTGCGGAACAGCTGCCAAACGTGCCTCGCTGGCTGCAGCTTCTGGCTCAGCGCAAGCTGTGCCATGTGATGCCTGTCGCCGACGGCCCCTGACAGGTGCTGTATTTCCGCGGGCGTCCGCCACGAAGGTACCCGACATCAACACTGGGCTGCCGATCTCTTCAGACCAGTATTCCACCTCCGCGATGGACTGCACCAACGTGTCGGGCGTAAACGTGGGGCTGCCGATAATCTAAGACTCCGGCTCTCCCGCAGACGTGGGCTGTTTCGAGGACTATCCCTGCTGGCATGCCGCTACCACGCTGGACTGCTGGGACGTGACGGGCCTCCACATGAGGCGGCCAATCTCCTACGGACGGGACATCCCCACCATGCTTGGTCGCTTCAAGATGCTGGGCATCAACGCGGGGCAGCCGATAGTTGACGGCATTAACTTCCCTGCAAGAGTGCGCTGATCGACGACTGCCTCTGCTGGTATTTCACACGCTGGCCTGATCGAAGGCCGATCTCCTACCGACGGTATCCCTTCACCACGCTGCACTGCAACAGGGCGCCGCCGGGAGGCAGTGCAGATCTGCCGATCGCCTCCGACTCCAGCTGCTACGCAGGTACAGGCTGCTTCGAGAACCACCCTTACCACAAGGGCTCCCAACTTCGTGCTCTCGCGCTGCGCAAAGCGCGAATAACTTCGCGCTCTCGCGCCGCCTCCCAGGGGAGAAGAGGAGGGTGAGGAGGGATCCCCCTCTCACTTGCCGCCGAATCTTAGAATATGGCTCTCCGATCCCTCCTTCGAGCTGACGATGAGCCTTATCCAAATCCTCCGCCTCCAACCTCCTCCTCCTCCTTCTTGTCCTTTCCTTTCATTTCCTTTCCTCTCCTCATCCTCCTCCTCCTCCTCCTCCTCCTCCTCCTCCTCCTCCCCCTCCTCCCATCCCCCCCTCTGCGAGCTGCCTCTGCTCCTCGGTGATCCCCGACACCTTCAGGGGAGCCGAGAAGTACTCTTTGGCGGTCTCCAGCGACTGGCCCAGAAAGGGGAGTTGAGGAAGAAGGGGGGGGGAGAGGGAGGAGGGAGGATGGAACAAAACCTGCATGGGAAATTTCTATCGCACAGTTCAGCTGCACAAATCGTGCTGCCATCTGCCACAGCCTTCAAACCCACGATGGGCAACAACTCGCACCAACCAGCCGTAGAGGGCCAGAGCCAAAGCCCCGAAGTATCAGCCCAGAGACCTCACATCTCAATCCTCTCGCACCATCTTGAATCTAGCACGCTTGGCGCCAGCAGCCGCGAATCTCAATCTGGCGGCACCTGCTGTATTACGCACCTCTTTGCTCCAGATGCCTTTGTCGCTCATCCGCCTCGTTGTTGCTTGGTCTCGCAGGGCGAAGGCCCTCTGCTGGCACACGGGGAAGGATCCTGGTGGAAACGGGTCCTGGTCCAGCCCCAATGTCCAGGACTTTTTGGACACTAGGGTTTTCCCTGAAACCACTTGCCTTCACATTGAATATTCAATTTCATATGAGTGCATTGGTCCGAAGACCTGCGGACAAAAAAACAAAGAAACTAACAAAAAAAAGAAAACGAAATGAGACCCCCCAGATCCCTGGTTCCCAAGGGCGCCCAGGCCCAACGTCGCGCTTCGCGCTGCGCGATGCGCGAAGCGCGAATTCGCCGGCCCAATGGGCCAGAGGCGTGCTAAGATCTCCGGTAACAAGTTAACAATATAACAAGTTCGCGCGCGCGAGGCAGCCCCTGGGGGCCCCGGCGCGACAAGTACCCCGCCAAAGTCCTGGCAGAGATGCCGGAGGCCCCCCAGACGGCCCAAGAGGCGCCCAAGACGGCCTCAAGAGGGCGCCCAGACGGTCCAAGAGCCCTTGGAGTCCACGAAAGATCGGCCGACGATGCCACAAAATCGCTCCAAGACGCCCACCATGGCCTCCAGACGCCCCCAAAGGCCTCCAAAAGTACTCTCAAGAGGGCCCCAAGAGGCAGAATTCATTGATTTTCCGGGTATTGGATACATTTTCGGGTTTCTCCTTTTTCGGCTTCCCGACGCTCCAAGATGGCCTAAGAGGCTCCCAAGATCGCCCCAAGAGGGTCCATGAGGACCCCAAGACAGCCCCAAGACGGCCTAAGATGGCCCCAAGACAGCACAAGAGGCGCCCAAGACGGCCCAAGAGAGCCCCAAAACGGCCCCAAGAGGGGCCCAAGAAGGTGACCAGGAACCGAAAAGTTCAGCCTTCAGTCCCAAGAGGCCCCCAGGAGGCCCCAAGAGGCCCCCAAGAGGCCCTCCCCCAAGAGGCACCCCAAGAAGCCCCAAGAGGCCCCCAAGAGACCCCAAGAGGTCCCAATACGGCCCCCAAGAGGCCTCAAAACTGCCTCCCAAAAGGCCCCTGAGAAGCCAACCACGAGAGCCCAACCAACATCCGTGAGGCCTCTGACCCGCCACCCACCGCCTCCGAAAAATGGCAGCCGCCCAACCGCACCGCATTGACAACAGCACTCCGACAAACGACAGCGGCGAGGCAATATGGGCCGGCGGCATGAGCGAAGCGATTGAATAACTTCGCACTGTCGCGCTGCCCCCCAAGGGGAGAAGAGGCGGATGAGGAATCGGAGCCGTACCGCGAAGCGCGAATAACTTCGCGCCCCCTCGAGGATCTTCTGACCCGCTTCAACCTGGGCACCCGGGTCAGTCAGGCCTCGCAGACTCCTGCAAGATGCTGCCAGATCCTGCACCCAAGCCCGGGCCACTGCGCAGGATCCTGCAGGATCAGGCGTTGTCGTGCGTATCAGTGGGGCTGCCCGAAGGCAGCGTCACTATCGCCGACACCATCGCAGCGTTCGGTATCACGATCAGAGCCACGCGCCTGTCCAAGCGCAGTGCGACAGGATCCTGCAGGATCCTGCAGATCGATCCTGCGCCCAAGCCCGGGTCGGTGCGACCCCGGCCCTGCAGGATCCCGCAAGATCCTGCAGGGCCATGGACCCCCGTGGGCGTTACGCCCCCCGTCTCGAGGCTCCCGACCCTCGAGCCCAGAGATCCGATGTCGTGATTGTTTCAATACGGGGTCCTGGGTAACAGGGGACATGTCGACCCCTATCCCAGGCTTCGTGGGGTTTCCGAATGGACCAGAAATTTGGGGCCTAACCCTGGGATATACGATGGGGGGGTGTCCATCCTCGATAGGGGTGCGTCCGAATAGCCCCCTTGGGGTGTACCCCAGGGTTTTCCCATTCTTCTGAGCGGCCAGACTTTTCGGGCGAAACTCGGGGATCGGGGGAGAAACATCGCCCGCGACTGGGAGGTCCCGACCCTTTCCCCATGGGCCGGTTCTTCATCCCAAAAGTCGTTTTTTGACGATAACGAGGCCCCGCGAGGGCCTCCGGAGGCCGAACATGTTTTTTTTTTGTTTCATATATATATATATATATATATACACGTTGGATCTCTGGGAGGGCGCCCCGGGCCCCGGGAGCGCCCTGGACGCCCCGGCAGAGCGCCTCCGAGGGGCCTGCCCGGGCCTTCCTGGACGTGCCTGCCGGGCGCAGCCACAGCGCTGCCCAAAGAGCGGCCCGGAGGGCGCCCACGGCCCCACGAGAGCCCCGAGCGGCCCCGCACACTGCTGCAGACCCCCTCGGAGCATGACAAACTCACGGTGGGAGGCTTTTCTCTATTTTCGGCCTCTGGGGGCCCTTACCGGCCCTCGGGACCATCAAAGAACGACTCAGGATGAAAAACCGGTCCCAGCGAATGGGTCCGGACCTCTGGGGGTCGCGTAAGGAAAAAATCATGACGTCGGGGGTCTGGGGTTTGGCGCCGCGGACCGCGCGCAGAGATAGGGCGTAGCAGTAGTAGGTCGGGCACATCCCCCTACAGGCGGGCTTCGGACGAACAATTTAAACATACTCCAAAATGCACCCAAGATGCCCAAAAATAGTCAAAACATCGCCCGCATATTACTTTTGACTATTTCTTGAATATCCCTCCTGTGGAGGGACAGGCCTGACTTCCGTCGTCCCCTTTCCCTGCAGCTTCCTTCTCAAGCTCGTGAGCGAGACAAAAATCTAGCAGTGTCGTAATCGAATCGAAGGGAAGCCCCTTCCCTTCGATCCCTTCCCCAGGAGGGGGGGGGGTTCCTGGGGGGGGTCCCGGGGGTGGTCCCGGGGGGGGTGGGGGGGCAGATTCGTTTTCCCTCGGGCGGCCTAGAAACCTCGAAAACACTCCAAATGAGGTCCGAATGCCCAAGATGGCCCCCGAGACGGCCCAAGAGGGCCCCGAGTCGCCCAAAGATCGGCCGAAAACGCCCACGATAGCCCCAAGACCGTGCAAGAAGCCTCCAAGACGTCCCAGGCCCCCCCGAGAGACCCCCAGGAAGCCCCAAGAGGCCCCCACGAGGCTTCCAAGCAGCCCCTGAGAGCTTCCCAAGAGGCCCACAAACTACCCCCAAGAGGCCCCCAAGAGCGCTCGTCGTCGTCGTCGTCGCCATTCAGGGTCGGCGGCACCGGCCGTAAGGCCTTCGCAATAGTCAAAACATCGCCCTCATATTACTTGTTGACTATTTCTTGAATATCCCTCCTGTGGAGGGACAGGCCTGACTTAAGCGAAGCAAGGTCAGAGAAGAAGGCGCGCGCGCGTCTAAATGCCGAACCCTCGAGCTGCTCGACCCCCGCGGCCCCCCACACTCACGCATCAGGCGCCCGGAGGCGGCCCAAAGAGCATCCCCTAAGAGGCCTTCGAAACGCAGCTACAACGGTTTTCGGCTGTTCTGAACCATGTTCAGACGCTCCGCTCTGCGGTCTTTCAGGCGTCCGAGACCGCCAAAGAGGCCTCCAGGATCGCCCCAAGACTGGCCAAAGAGGCGTCAAGACGGCCCAAGAAAGCTCAAGTAGAGCCCAACAGGACCCGAGATGGCTCCGAGGAACCCCCAAGACAGCCCACGATGGCCCCAAGATGCCCTGTGAAAGCACTCCAAATCGCGACCTGGTCGTCGAGGGAAAGCACGAAGGGCAGCATGATTGCCCCAAGAAGCCCCTGGAGGGCCCCAGAAGACGTTCAGGAGGCCTCTGGGGTCCTCAATAGAACCAAGACGTCTTCGAGAGGCTCCCCTCAAAAAAGGGCCTCCACAACAAATGAGAACGGGTCCGTAACAAATCGGGGAAGGCTTCGCAGAGAATGGCGAGAACAACGAAGAAACAAAGGAAAGAGGAAGACAGGGAGGAGGAAGACAATAATGATAACGACAGCGCGAAAACGGAGACGAGGACAGGACATATTATATCGCTTCCTCGTTCTCTCTCTCTCTCTCTCTCTTTCTCCTTATTTCTCTCTCTCTATATATATATTTATATATATATATACATAAATGTATAGATATAGATCACCCTCTCGCTCTCCTATCTCTCATTCCGCCCGTGCGCAGCTTGAAGGACCAAGATGCATGGCGCGAAACGCCAGCGCAGTCTTCTGTATGTGCTTACATCTGATGTAACAGCATACGCACCTGTCCGGCCGAATCGAGCTCGATGGCGATTGAATGGAGCCGTGGCGCGTTGTTCTGACCGCTTCGTCCAGGGAATCCGTAACATTCAGAAAACCAGACGCACCCCTCACGCAGATCGCGACGTCACGGTCCAAACACACGATGGAATTTCAACATGTTTACATGCAAACTACATAGCATACAATGGATGTAAGTGATGTTGGACGTCGCTCTTGAGAACAGCCGTTTCACGTGAGACATCCCGCCACATTGAAGCCCGACGTATTCAAAATTGTTATCATATTCTTCAACACGTCAGTTTCGCTCGAGACATCATCCAACATTTGGATTCGAAACTTATTTTCGATTGCAAACAACACCCTGTGGAACACCCCCTCCGCCACACAAACATCGCAAGGTGTGAGAACCCCACCTGCGTTCGACTGCGAGCCCGCTATGGCGCTGATTATCATTATCCTCCTTCTTCTTTGCTTTTCTTTCGGTTTCTCCATCTCATTCCTCCTCCTCTGCCTCCTCCTCATCCTTCTCGGATCCGACTTCACATCCTTCTCGGATACGACTTCTCGCGCACCTTCTGCGATTCTTGCGTGCTCCAAGTCTTTTGGTATGGGCCTGGGCACGCGCGTCCCACGGAGCTCATGCTCACGGTCCTGGGGCCTGGGAGGGGCCCCGCGAGACCCAAAACGGCGAACCGAAATCTCCAGCAGCCTCTCCGACTCCAGGAGCCCCTTTCCTCGCGTGCGTCTTCTTATTCGGCGTTTCGACATTGGGCGGAATGGGGAGAGGGGTGGTCTGGCTCCGGACGGCGGAACCACATTGATTCCACCGAGAAGTGAAGGACCACAGGGGACCCTCCGATTCCAATTCTGGACCCAAAGCAAAATGAGGAGCAGCATTGCAGAAAGAACGCGGAACCAAATGGGTTCGATCGAAGGGGAGGGACAGTGAGGCGCCAGGAGAACGAGGGAAGCGTAGCGGTATGGATGCCGTCGCCTCCTCTGCAAGATTATGTTTTTTTTCGCGGCCCCAGACTCCCTCGCGCTGCGAACAATCACGACGAGAGGTTTATCGCTATGTTCGGCCTCTGGGGGCCCCCACCGGGCCTCGGGACCGTCAAAAAACGACTCGGGATAAAAAGCTGGTCCTGGGGAATGGGTCTGGACCTCTAGGGGTCGCGTCATGAAAAAATCATGACGTCGGGGGATCTGGGGCGCGAGGGGGTCGACGGAGGGGCGACGAAGTCTCGCTGCGCCGCGCAGTGAGCGCGGCGCCCTCGACACCGAGACAACTGTCAGCTCTGGCCACCTGCGCCATACGAGCGCGCAAACCTGGAACCTGGGAGCCTAAAACCTCAGATCATCAGGCGGCCACGGCGGCAAGCGGGAACACGATCTGCGCGGACGGAGATGCCTGAAATGCATCGGGCCTCCCCGAAGCCTTACGGCTGCGCGCCCCGCCTCGACGGCCTCCTTGCCAACCTGCGAGGCCTGGAAGCTCCTCGGAGGGGCCGGGCCCCCCGGTGGGCGGCGGGGCCTGCCCAGGTGGGGGGAGGAGGAGGAGGAGGAGGAGGAGGAGGAGGAGGAGGAGGAGGAGGAGGAGGAGGAGGGAGGAGGAGGAGGAGGAAGAGGAGCAGGAGGAGGAGGGAGGGGAGGAGGAGGAGGAGGGAGGAGGAGGAGGGAGGAGCGACATTGGCCAGCAAGAGAAGGGCGGCCGAGAGCACGAGACGGAGGAGAAGGAGGAGGAAAAGAAGGACAGGAACAGAAGGATGAGGATGATGGTGATGATGATGATGATGATGATGATGATGATGATGATGATGATATGATGATGATGATGATGATGATGATTATGATGATGATGATGAGTAAGGGGAGGAGGAGGAGGAGGAGGAGGAGGAGGGGGAGGAGGACCAGTGTAAACCCAAGACTGATGAACGATGTTGAAACAAACCCTCCCTCCAAGCTCCCTCGCCACATGCCTCTGCAAGGATTCATGTCCACTGAGGGAAATGCCCCCTTGTGAGACAACCGTCTGAAGACCATAGGGGAGGTCAGAGGCGAGAGTCATGAGAATAGAGGGGGAGGGGGATGAGAAGGAATAAAGGAGGAGGAGGAGGAGGAGGAGGAGGAGCGACGCTGGCCAGCAGGAGAAGGGCGGCCGAGAGCAAGAGAAAGCGAAGGAGGAGGGGGAGGAGGAGGAGGATGGAGGATGGAGGAGAACAGAGGCGACACGGATGATGATAGAGGGGGAGGAGGAGGCAGAGGAGGGAAAGTGAGGATGAGGAGGAGGAGGGGCGACAATAATGAGGATAGAGGAGGAGCTGCGGCTGCACACGGCTTTTGGACAAGACGGTGTGCGCACTACCTCTCGATGAATGCACACGAGCATAACACGTACCAGACGCGATACTCGTCACAGACAGCAGCGAGGAGGGTACCGAGCGGAGCACCGCCAGCGAGGGGACGAGGAAAAGGAGGAGGAGGAGGAGGAGGAGGAGCAGGAGGGGGAGGGGGAGAACGATGGAGGATGGCGGGGGCAACCGCACCAGGGCCCCGTTTCAGTGGGGACTGCTCAAAAGAAGCCAGGACACCTGGCGCGCCCCAGAAGACACCAGCCATGGCCGTGGGTCGAAACGTGTCCCGCCCTTCGTCCGCTCCTGCTGGAGTTTCCAGAGTCCCGGCATGTGACTTCCAGGGAGGACGAGAAGGAGGAGGAGGAGGAGGAGGAGGGGGAGGAGGAGGAGGAGGAGAGGAGAGGAAGGAGGAGGAGGAGAGGAGGAGAGGAGGAGGCGGAGAAGGAGGAGGAGGAGAAGGAAAGGAGGAGGAGGAGGAAAGGAAAGGAGGAGGAGGAGGAGGAGGAGGAGGAGGAAGAAGGCGCGCCCAGAGCAGCGCTCTGGCCGCCCGACCGCTCGAGCGGCGCGCCCCCGAGCCGGAAACGGCGGTCCGTCGCCATGCTCTGCCCGCGGACATCGAGGCCTGCTCGAGGGCTCTGCGCTGGAGGTCCCCTCGGGGGGGGGGTAATCCCCGCGGGGGGGGGGGAGCTGGTCTTGGGTCGGGCCTGTCCCCGTACAGGGGGATTTTGGACGAAAAATTAAAAATAGTCAAGACATGTCCAAACGATATTCGAAAATAACGAGAAAAATCGTCCCCATACTATGTTTTGACTATTTTTGAACATTCCTCCTGTAGAGGGACACGCCCGACTGAAAGCTGGTCCCTCGCGCGAGCCTCCGCAGACGGGAAGGGTCGGCGACTCCGAAGGGTGTGGCTTGCTAGGGGTGTGGTTTGCAACGGGCGCCCTGGGGGGCACCCTGGAGGGCGGGCGGGGACCTCGACGGAGCTCTCCGCCGCGCCCCGAGGAGGCCCAGCGAGGAAAGTGCCGTGCTCTCCGGGCCCCAGCAGTGCCGATCGCAAACTACACCCTGGCGTAACCATACCCTTTGTAGTCGCCGAAAGGGGGAATTCGTGGTCATCGACGTCGGGGTCGGCGACGTCGTCGACGCCGCCGCCGACGTCGTCCGCACGTCTGTGGAAAGCGCTTGTTGAGGCAGAACGGTGCGCGGCGCGGAGAAGGCGAGAGTCACACTTTGAAAGCCACGGGATGGAGGAGGGGGAGGGGGGAAGAGGTCTTTTGTTGCACATATATATATGTATATATATGTATATATATATATATACATGTGTATACACTCATGTATATATATATATATATGTATATATATATATATAGTGTACAATGTGTTTTATGCGTGCGCTTCTCTGCTTGCAGGCGTGGGAAGAGACTTCCCGTGCCAGACACGCTCTGCCTCGCGCTCGCCCAGGATCGGGGCCCGCGCACGCGCGCCTGCCGGGCAACCCCGGGCGCTCGAGACTTCAGGCGTCGGCCCCCTGGGGGCACGGACCGCGGAGCACGAGCGAAGCGGGGCGAGGGCCCCGCCACGCGAGGGAGGGCGAGAGGGGGAGGTATCCCGACGGTTTCCAGGCGACGGCTCTCCAGGTGGCTGTGTGGGGGACCCCCTCGCGCGGTGTGAAAAAATCACGGCGGAAGGTTTGTCGCTATCTGCGGCCTCTGGGGGCCCTTGCGGGGCCTCAGGGCCGTCAAAAAACGACTCAGGATGAAAAACCGGTCTGGGGGTAAGTGCCTGCCTGCCCTGGGGGCCTTCTCAGAGCTCTCCTCCTCCTCCTCCTCCTCCTCCTCCTCCTCCTCCTCCTCTTCCTACTCCTCTTCTTCCTCCTCCTCCTCCCTCCTCCTCCTCCTCCTCCTCCTCCTGCTCCTCCTCCTCCTCCTCCTCCTCCTCCTCCTCCTCCTCCTCCGTCCCGACCTCTGAAGGTCGGGACACGAACAAATCCGCCGACCCCTTGTGTCATAACGACGGAGGTATGGGCGGGGCGCTGTCCTGTGAGCCACACGTCGGTCTTCGCACGCCGCGTTTCGAGGCTGGGGGAAGGGGGGGAGGGAAGGCAGAGACGGAGACAGGAGGAAAAGGGGGAGGGAAGGAAGGAGGAGGGAGGGAGTGACGAGGAGGGGGAAGGAGGGGAGGGAGGGAAGCGGGGCAGGAGGTGAGTCCCCGCGCATTTCCCAAGATTCGGACATCCAAGGCAACGAATAACGGGAAAAAAACTGGTGACACCCCTCCCCCCCCCTCCCCGGGCCCCCAGGGGAGCCGAAGGGGGGGGGGGGGGGTGCAGCCTGGCCCCTCCGAATTTCGGGCATCAAACGGGCGACCGTTTCACCACCTGGAATGGCCACCCGCTTGGTACCCGAAATTCGGCGACATATTCAGGAGATGGGCCAGCCCCCCTCCCCCCCCACCCCCCGGAAAATCGGAGAGGCCCCAGGCTGGCCCCTCACCCGAGTGCCGCCGAAGTTCGGACAGCAACCAGCGGGTGGCCACACCAGGGGGTGACATGGTCACCCGCTTGTGCCCCGAAATTCGCTGGGGGGGGCCAAGCTGGCCCTCTCCCGAATTGAGCCGAAATTCGGGGAACAAGGCGGGTGATCACTTCAGGGGGTGAAGTGGTCACCCGCTTGTTACCTAAAATTCGGATGGGGGGGGGGGGGCAGGCTGGCCCTCTCCCGAATTTTGTCGAATTTCGGGCAACGGGCGGGTGATCATTTCAGGGAGACTTTTCGGGGGCAACGCACCCCAGCCATGCACAGTCAGTTAGCGAGTCCTCTGGTCAGGTACGCGTCAGATCGCAAAGGACAGTGCTTCATGACAACGCTGCGTCAGGAAAGCTGGGTGTTCTACGTCGGTGGCTGCTATCCTTCCAGGAGGTGCAAATGGTCGCCCGCTTCTTACCCAAAATTCGGAAGGGGGGCCAGGCTGGCCCCATGAGTGCCCGACGGTGTTCCAGTATTCGGACTGGCGACCCCCCCCCAGACCTCCTGGGGGGGGGGGTTCACCAGCTTGTCTTCCAATTCTTCACTCGAAGAACATCGGGAAATAAGCGGGTGACCACTCAGGGGGGTGAAACTGTCACCCGACCGTTCCCCCAGATTTGCACAACGACCAGATCTTGGGAGACCATCGGGCGACCACGTGTCGGTGAAGCGGGAGGGGAAAGGTGGGAGAGGAGGGGGAAGACGGGCCACACTTGACATCCTGGCCCTCCCTCGTATCCCTTCCTGCTGCGCTGGGCACCTTTGTGTGTTGCCGGGCCGGGGGGTATGAATCAGATCGTGGCCCCCTCGACGGGGCATCTGCTGTGTTCGGTCCCTCGCCTGCTGGACGAGAGGCGAGGGCTCCAGGCGAGGCCAGGAAGTCTGCAGCCGAGGGGAGCGGGGGGGAGGGGACGGCGGGGAGCCCGCCACGGGTGCCCGCCACGGGGAGCCGGCCCTGGGTCCCAGAAACAACAAAAAAAGTCAGCCGCAGAACGACGAACTGCTGCTCTCCGCACATTCCGGCTTCCGCGGGTCCTCCCCAGACATACCTCGTCCTACCCCCGCGGGAAAACAACAGATGGGGTCCAGAAGGACGTGCTCGTACTAGTGTTATGTGCTCCTGGTGGAGACGCACGGCGGGCCCGAACGTATAGCACAACAGATTGTAGCACATCGTCTCCCGACCCGTATTGCCAGAAAGCGCCCGCCACGGAGCTCATGCCGACACACACATGACATCGGTACGGCTGGTGCCGAACAGAGACAGCCGAATTCAACATCTCCACGGGCTCCAGCTACCCCCCCCCCCCCCTTCCCAATGCCCTCCTCATCCTCTTCCAGCCCTGTCCGGCCAACGCTTACGATCCTGGTCCTGTTCCTACTCGTCTTTCTTGTCCCTGTCCCCCTCGTCTTCTTTGCCATCCTCCCTCTCCTCCTCCCGCTCCTCATCCTCGTCCTCCTGTTCCTGCTTCTCCTTCTCGTCGTCCCCCCACTCCCTCACCGTCCTCCTCCCCTCCCCACTGAAGCCACGCCCGCGAGGGAAGGGTCCTGTCGGCGGGAAGTGTGGCGGACGCGACTACGATGCAGTCCTCCAGCCTGGCGCCCATCCTTCCTCTCTGTCTCTCCTGCTACTCGTCCCCTCCGTCCGTCCTCCCATGTCCAAGTTCTGCTCCACCCTGCCCGTGGTCATGATGACACACCTGGCCACAATGCATACCTATATGTATATATATATATATACAGAATTGCACACATATATGTATGTATATATCTGCGAACATACGTATACACACGTACATACAGGTATACATACATATGTGCATTGACATATACATCCGCATATACATGCAAACATCTGCATACACATCGAACTGTCCAGGCGCATGTATATAAGTGGGGTGACCGTTCTAACACATGGGTTTTCCCGTGCACGTTTCCAACTCGTACGCTTTAGAGCACTTGCCGTAGCCCGCGGCTGCTGTATCATGCATTCATTGTCGTGGAAAGCGTGTAAGAAAAAATTGCAGCTCAGCTTGCGTTCAGCAACTTGCAATACCACACGCAAGTTGTTGGAACCACCCCACGCAATCGCCGTCATGCCAAACATTCGTCGTTGTATACGAAAACATAAAAACCCCGTCCGTCTGAATCGTGTCAAAAATTGCAACCCAACAACAATCAACGCCCCCCACAAACAAATCACCGAACATGAAAACTGCAATGACCACCTCACTGGCGAGTTGGCACGCGCGCGTTACCAAGCGCATCCGCAAAAAAAAAAAAAAAACATGGGCTGGCGCCGCAACATCTATATATATGTGTATATATGATAAGTCCTATCAACTAAGATACAGCTTCAATGATTGCAGCCGCCTGTGGTCCGCGCGACGGCGCAAAAAGGGCACTAAGGAATAATCTTGCGGCGCGGATTCAACCTATAACACAATGCACTTGTGATGCCCACGTCCTCTCTGTTGACGCTACACAGCGAAGCAGCGAGGGCTCTGAAAAGGAGTCCCAAGGGCTTTTGAGGAGGAGGGAGAAGAGAAGGAACACGGGGGAGAATGAGGAGGAGGAGAAGGAGATAGAGGAGGAGGAGGAAAGGGAGGAGGACGACGACGACGACGACGAGGAGGGGGAGCAGCAGTAACATCAGGAGCAGAGAAGGCACCCATTAGCAAAGCCTGATTGGGGAGAGCAGCGACCAAAAACCTGGCGCGACCCCAATTAGGGGGGATGGCTTTCTGCAAGATGCGTGCGCTGGGAAAGTGGGCGGTGCCGCCGCCTGGCGCGGGCGGCTGGGGGCGGCAGGAACGGATGATGATGATGAAACGTTGGCGGGAGGCTCCTCTCCCTGGGGCTACGTTCCGTAATGCGTATGTTGGTGTTCCTCCTCCTCTTCCCTTTCCTTCTCCTCATTATCACTATCCCCCCCTCCTCCTCCTCCTCCTCCTCCTCCTCCTCCTCCCCCTCCTCCTCTTTATCACTATCCTCTTCCTCTTCCTCCTTCTGCTCTCTTCCTCCTTTTCCTCCTCCTCCTCCTCCTCCTCCTCCTCCTCTTCATTATCACTATATTATTCCCCCTCCTCTTCCTCCTCCTCCTCCTCCTCCTCCTCCTCCTCCTCCCCCTCCTCCCCACAAACCCGTAGAGATCCATGGGCCCTCGATCCGTCTCTCGTCAATTTTCTCTGTTTGCCCTTCCGGCGCCCTCCACAAATTCGGCGTTCCCTTCCGGACGTGCGGAAAAGACAAAGTGTGACGAGAAGAAACTGCAAGGAAAGGATCGACAAGGCTGGGAGGGGGCTGGGAGAAGGAAAGTGGGCGGACGGGCATGGGGAGGTGAAACTGGACAAGGGTGAAGGAGAAGAGAGCAAACGAGGGCGGGAGCGAGGAACATGGCAACGGAGCGGCAAGGAAACCTGGCACTGAGATCGGCAAGGTTCCAAGTTTTCTGAATGGGGGGAAAGGGAGAAGCTGAAGAGACAAGCAAGAGAAACACAGAGAGAGAGAGAGAGAGAGAACAAAAGTCACAGAGCAAGGAGGGAGAAAGAGAGTGAAAAAGGAGCGAGACAGGGGGAGAGAAAAAGAGAGAGAGAGAGTGAGAACACAATAAACAATATGACTATACATGTAAAAAGGGAGAAGGGAAATATATACACATACTATAAAAAAATCCTGTGGGGGGATACAGAAACAAGGAGAGATAAGGAGAGTGTCAAGGATGACGGTATCATGTAAAGCCTTCATAAATGTTGTGTATTAAACAAATATTACGACCACGCAGACCCATGCAACGGGCTAGACATGGGGTCGTGGGAAGTCTGCGTGACGGCGGGGCCTACGAACTAGGGGCCCGCCTTGCAAAGCCAACGTTTCATCAGGAAGGGGTAGAAATGGAGGTAGAAATGTGGGGGGTTGGCCCCTGAAGTCTGGAAGGTAGACATCTGGAGGTGTCATCGTCGACCTACCTCTTTGGCGGGCCCTCCTCACACCAGCTGCCCTCCACCAACCTCGCCGTTCGCCAACCGTGCCGTCCGCCAACGAAGCCGCCCTAGTTGAACTTCCACCGGCCTCCGCGCACCTTCTGTTAGCATCCAGAACAGAGGAAGATCCGCCGTTCCCTCGCCGACGGGGCTCTTCCAGGAACGGCTTCCGCAGAGGCCGACGAAGAGCAGGAAGGGGCGGTAAGGAAACGCAGCGCTGACCATCTCAGGGCACGCTGGGGCGACATCGGGTTCATGATTGGGGCTGGCTCGCCGAACAGGACTGGCCGACCTCGAGACGGTTTTCTGGACCCCCTGGTTGTTCTTCCCCTGCGGAGGGGGGCAAAGCCTCTGGAGGCCGACACCCTTGTTTGGCAAAGCCTGCGCAGTGAGGTAGGGAGACACCCGCATGTGTCAAGAGCGTGGACAAGGATCTGGAAGGTTTTGGGGAGAACAAAGAGGAGGACGAAAAGGAGGACGGGGGAGGAAACGGGAGGACGCAGACTGTGCACCCGCACCGATCCTATCTGGGTTCATCCTGAGCCAAGGATAAGCATGGCCAGGATGGGTGCGAGCGTATCATTGGCGACCTCCAGGGATAGGGGGAGGGAAGGGGGGGAAAAAGCAGCAGCAGGAGCAGAGCAGCAAGCACCCATTGGCAAAGCCTAATTGGGGAAAACAGCAAATAAGAACCCGGCGCGACCCCAATTAGGGGTAAAGGCCATCTGGCAGAGGCGTGCGCCAGGAAGGCGAGCGGCACCGTCGCCTGCCGCTGGCGGCTGGGGGGAGCAGGGGGCGAATGACGGTGGCATGTGGGCGAGAAGCTGCTCATCCGACTCTTCCTCCTCACCATCCTCCTCCTCCTCCTCCTCCGCCTCCTCCTCCTCCGCCTCCTCCGCCTCCTCCTCCTCCTCCTCATCCTCCCCGTCCTTCTCCACCTCCTCATCCTCCTCCGCGTCCTCTTCCTCCTCCTCCTCCTCCTCCTCCATTCCTTGTCATTCTAAAGAACTTCTCCCTGTCGCACCCCGAGGCCAGATTTTAGGGCTGGCCGGGCGTTTCGCCTGAGACTTCCTCACCACTTATGACTCTGAAGCTTGAAAATTAACAACACTTCACAAATGGAGGGCGGGTGGTTCTCAAAATGTGGTTCTCGCCGTAGCGCCGCGAACACTCGTTTTAAACAGTTGCAAGGGTTCCACGGGCTCAGGGCGAATCGTTTTCGAAATGTGGCTATCGCTTTAGTGCCGCGCACATTCGTCTTCAAATTCGCAAGAACGGATTGAAGGCGGGTGGTTTTCAAAATGTGGCTCTCGCCTTAGCGCCGCGCATATTCGTTACAAAGTTGCAAGAGTTCTACTGATTGAGGGCACTTCCTTTTCAAAATGTGGCTGTCGCCTCAGCGCCGCCGACATTCGTTTGCAAACTGTGCAGGAGTTCCACGGATTCCCCCTCATCAGCGTACCAGAGATGGTGTTCAGGAGGGATTTAGGATTATGCGGGCGCAACAAGTACGTGGATTCTCTGTGTTGAGATCCCACGAATGGCGTTCTGGCGCGATTCGGGATCGTCACGACGCAACGGTCAGGTTGATCCGTGGCGTTGGAATCCCGAGAGCAATGTTTGGGTATGCTTCAGGGTATTCACACGGGTGTCTGCCAACAAAACAGTTCCATCAATGGGAATGAACCGTTGTAGTGGCCTATGAAGAGGGGGGGAGCTTGGAGGGAGCGGTTGCTCCAACATCGTTGATGATTCTTGAGATTTCACTGGTCCTCCTCCTCCTCCTCCACCTCCTCCTCCTCTTCATCATCATCATCATCAGCAGCAGCAGCATCATCATCAGCATCATCATCCCCTGAGGGAGGACTTCCCAGAGGCCGGTGGCTGTGGAAGGCACAACCCAACCCAATCCTCCTCGATCTGCTCTTCACCCTCATCCCGTCGTCTGCCTCCTCCGCTGCCTCTCCTTCTCTTCTGATGGGCCTGTTTTCCACCACCACCACCACCATCATTCGGATTGGGGGGAAGCAGGAGGAGGAGGACGAGGAGGAGGACGAAGAGGAGGAGGAAGAGGAGGAGGATGTGGCGGCGGAGGAGGAGGAGGAGGAGGAGGAGGAGGACGAGGAGGAGGACGAAGAGGAGGAGGATGTGGCGGCGGAGGAGGAGGAGGAGGAGGAGGAGGAGGAGGACCCCCTCCTCCTCCAATTCGTGGTGGTGGTGGTGGAAGACAGGCCCCTCACTCTCCGCCCTCCTGGCGCGCCGCGGACCTCCGTCGCGCCAGGCCCCCCCCCCCCCGCTGGGGGTCCACGCGCCAGCCTCCCTTGGGGCACCCGCCCACCGTCGCGGTCGGGCGGCCCGGAGGGGCACGCCCCCGCGGGCCGCCGCTAAGCGCACCCCTCAACCGGCCGAGGGCCGGCGCACGGGGGAGCCGACGAGAGGCCTCGGCGGGGCACGATTGTAGGAGGCCTCCCAGATGGGGTCCGCCTCCTCCTCCTCCTCCTCCTCCTCCTCCTCCTCCTCCTCCTCCTTATCTCCACCTCCTCCTCCTCCTCCTCCTCCTTCTCCTCCTCCTGCCCCTCCTGGTCGTCGTCGCTGCATTTCAGGGTCGGCGGCACTGGCCGTCAGGCCTTCACCATAATGACGTCGGGGGCCTGGGCAGATGGGGTCCGAGCAGATGGGGTCGGAGGATTGCACAACATCGGTGATGCATCGGCGATGCACCCGCGATGCATCGGCGACGTCCGTGGTGCATCGGCGACGCCGGCGCGGAGAAGATCAGGCCCCGCATCGAGCCGCATCGGCGATGCCTCGGCGATCCTCCGACCCCATCTGCTCGGACCCCGCCTGGGAGGCCTGGACCGACGCGGTCTCGTCGGGGCATGATGCGCTTGATCACCGGAGGGGACCAACGGCGAGCTGGCGGCCACCTCCAGAGACGCCACCAAAGCCGCCCCTGGCCCTGCAACCCCGCCCTTCGGCGCGGATCCAGGGCCCCTGCACCGCCCATGCCACAGCCTCCATCAACGACAGGCGGTCCCCCTATGGCCTCTTCTTCCTTCACCTCCACCTTCTTCTCTGTCGCCCTCCTGCGCCCACCCATCCCCTCCTTCATTCCTCCTCCTCCTCCTCCTCCTCCTCCTCCTCCTCCTCCGCCACATCCTTCAGGTATCCTCCCTGCTACATCCTCCTTCTCCTCCCTTCTCCCTGGCACCTCCTCCCTCCTCCCTCTTCTCTGGTCGATCATCCCCATCCCGCCACGCAATACGAGGAGAGGGATGGCCCTACTTAGATGCAAAGCGGATAGTGGACGGGGGGAGACTGCGCCGCCGCCCCCCCGGACTTGTAGTTGTCAAGCATCATTTTGATGGCCATCTTGATGTTGTTTCGCTGGGTGTCCTGGGCTGCGAGGGCCAACGCGCAACGGGTCGCTGCCGTCTTGTTGCCGCGGAGATGCCAGACGGGAGGAAGAGAGGGAGACAGGAAAGGAGGAGCCCGCACGGAGCAGCGCGGACAAGCGAACACGGAGGACGAGGAGCGAGGACGGCGGAGGAACGAGGAGCAGGGACGGAGGACGAGGGACGAGCGAGGCGGGGGAGGGCCCGCACCTCCGGAGTCGCATGCTTTTCCTCGCGGTGTTTTGGCCCCAGGGCGCCGGACCGCATCTCCACAGGACCTGCCTGTCGTTCGGGGGGCGTCTAGTGATGGACCCGCGGCCCACGGAGAGGGACGAGGAAAGGCACTCTACAGGCATCGGCCTGACCTACAGGACGATAGATCAGGAAACGCATAAGGAACGAGAAAGAATACACAACGCATAAGGAACGACAAATAACGCGTGCAAGCCTAAGGAACGACGGAGCCCCTTTTGAAAAGTGTGTGCCGTATTCAAGCCGCTCACTGTAGTATTAGGTCGGGCATGTCCTCCTACGGGCGGGTTTTTGGCAGACAAATGAAGCATAGCCAAAAAACTCACAACATAGTCCAAACATACTCTTGAAATACTCGAGCCATCGTCACCAAACTATTGTGAGACTATTTTTGAACACTCCTCCTGCAGAGGGACAGACCCGACTTAACACTAGCAGCATGCGAATATGCGCCCCCTCTGGAGGCGCACGTCCTCACCGAACGTAAAGCACAAAACATGTGATGACGTGCTGCTACCCAGGAGGTGGGGCCAGAAAGCACCCGCCACCAAGCCTATACTGCAGGATCTCGGAGCGCGCGCGTCTCGCCTGCGAGTCCGACGCACACATCGCATGCGTCGGTTTGGGCGGTGCCGAAGGAACGGCCCCCGAAGGCCTAGCAGCCGAAGTCCCGAAGAGTCGCTCATCGTGGTTGCTCCGCTGCGCGAGGAGGTCGGACAGCACCGCCATGATTGATTACTCCAGAGATGTTGGGTGTCCTTCTGCTGCAGTGGTGTTCAACGCATTACGCCGCCCAGCTATGCAACTTCGGCTTGTCAAATGCCTCGAAAAAAAAACCCAATGACATGCACATTGCCGCCGCAAACTCATGTTCACAACAGTCCGTGATGTCGAACATTCTCGAATGCTGGGGTGAGAGAGGAAAATTGTGAGGAAATAGGAGCAGCAGGAGGACGAAGAGGAGGAAGAAGAGAAGAGATGAGAACCTTTTCGTCTTGCTCCTGCGTGTGCGCGATTGACCAGCAGGGGCCCACCTCGGGAATGGAGCCCCGCTCTTCGGTGGAAATCTGCGACGCAATTTCGACACTAGCCTGTGGAGGAGACGGCTCTCTGAGGATCTCGGATGTTCCCACACGCTGCCTTTCGCATAGTTGCGCAACAAAACGCCCTGATTGGAAACCGACGGGCGAGTGGAATGCGAATGAAGGTGTAGTGGACGGGCCATGGTCGCTGCTTGGCCATCTCTTAAGTGTGGCATCCCAGTGTACATGCTAAGGTTTACTTCAGAGAGCGCCCCTCGGAAATTCCGGAAATATGCCCAAATTACACTTGTCATCGGACAGCACGCAAACAACAACAACAAAAAACAAAACAAACAAAACACGACAGCCCTCGCAGACACGTGCTTGGCGTCAAACAACCGCAAGCGGCAAGTCGCATGTGCGGACAGTGCCTGAGGACGAAAGGACAACTTGCTTTTCTCACAGCGCCGCATCACCCCCCGGCCGTGCCCGAAGACGAGGCCGAGCTCGATCTGACTCTCCGCAAGACGGCACGGCAAGTGAGAAGCCACTAGTCACTAGATGTGAAGATTGGCCGGTCCGAGGAGCCAAGTTACCTGTACCCGCCCAGACGACGAGAGCATGGGCACGTGGAGCTCGCCTCTGTGATGCTGGCGCACCTGTCTTCTCGGCCGCAGGCACCGAGGCAAGAGAGAAGGCGGACAGATCAGGAAAAGCACGCCGATGCGCACACCGTGGGGGGCACAAGACCCTGATCTGCCGTTGCCCTAAAAATGCAACATCGCAAAAAATCACGACCGGCGCCCCAGACCCAATCTTTCTGCATCAGTTTTTGAACCGGATCGACCTGTGAGGGTCCCGGGTCCCGGGGCCGAAATCAATCGAAAACGCCCGTTGTGAACAAAATTGCAACGCCAGGATCTCAGGGGACAGCATGGGCAGCCTGGGTTGCCCTCGGGGCAGGCCGGACTGCGACATCCTCCACCCCAGACCTCCGACGTCATGATTTTTTCATGACGCGACCCCCAGGGAGGTCTCGACCCATTCCCCTGGACCGGCTTTTCATCCCGAGTCGTTCTTTGACGGTCCCGAGGCCTGGTGAGGGCCCCCAGGGGCCCAAAATAGCGAAAAACTTGCCGTCGTGATTTGTTCATGACTCGAGGGCGTCTGGGTCCTCCACAGCAGACCAACGCCGGCAACCACCGCGGCGCGCCACGGGAGAGATGCCTCCCCTCTGGCGGCGGCCCAGCCTCAGGTCGGGCGCGTCCCCCTACAAGGGGATATTCGGAGGATACATTAAAAAATACCTCCAAAACTGTTCCAAAATACTCTAAAATGGTCAAGACATCGTCCCCAGATTTTTCTTTAAAAACTATTTTCGAATACCCCCCTGTAGAGGACCGGGCCCGACTTGCGGTTGCCCTCGGGGACGGACAGACTGCGACATCCTCCACAGCAGCCCAAAATGCTCCAGAATTGCCCGAAGTGGTCAAACAATCGTCCCCCGACTATTTCTTAAAACTATTTTCGGGTATTCGTCCTGCAGAGGGACAGGCCCGACTTCCGCCTATGAAGGGGCCCCAGGACACACAAATAAATACACACAAATAAAATTATTCCCCATATTTTCCCATATTTTCTGGGTTTCTGTCTTCCCCCCCACTTCCCATATTTTCCCATATTTTCCTGGGAGTCGACGATTAATTGTGTCTGTGTGTTTTTTCCCCTCCTGAGCCTGGCCGGCAGGCGATGGGCGGGCGACAGCCCGAGCTTAAGCGAGCAGGGGCGGCTCGCCGACGTCGAGCCTGGCGCTGGACGCAGGGCGCGCGCCGAGAGCCTCTGCGGGGCCTGTCTGCCACCACCACCACCACAAGTTGGAGGGGGAGGGGTTCTCCTCCTCCTCCTCCCCCTCCCCCCCCCCTCCTCCTCCTCCTCCTCCTCCTCCTCCTCCTCCTCCTCCTCCTCCTCCTCCTCCTCCTCTCCTCCTCCTCCTCCTCCTCCTCCTCCTCCTCCTCCTCCTCCTCCTCCTCCTCCTCCTCCTCCTCCTCCTCCTCCTCCTCCCCTCCCCTCCTCTACCTCTCCTCCTCCTCCTCCTCCTCCTCCTCCTCCTCCTCCTCCTCCTCCTCCTCCTCCTCCTCCCACTCCTCCTCCTCCTCCTCCTCCTCCTCCTCCTCCTCGTCGTCGCCCAACTCCTCCTTCCCCCCATCCAGCTCATCGTGGTGGCGGTGGAAAAGAGCCCATCGGACTCGGGCAGAGCGAGCGCCCGGCCTCGCCTCCTGCGCCCGGGGATCCCCAGACCCCCTCGAGCAATGACCAAAAATCACGGCGGGAGGTTTTGCCACAGTCTTCGGCCTCCGGGGGCCCTCACCCGGCCTCGGGGCCGTCAAAAAAGGACTCGGGATGGAAAGCCGGTCCGGGGGAATGGGTCCAGACCTCCGGGGGCGCGTCGTGGAAAAATCACAACGTCGGGGGTCTGGGGATGGCCCACTCTCTCGAAGCGCCGCGCGTCGCCAGATGTATCCCCCCCCCCTCGCCAGAACCAGAACACGCCCCTTCCCTCGAAAATCCAACGCCTCCCTCTGGAACTGGGGCCCCACCCCGCTCCAGGGAAGAGGCAGCCCCAGCCCCAGACCCCGCTGCTGCGCGCCGGCAAACGACGACGAACAGGACGAGCATGGCGACAGCCACGACGCTGACGGCGACGACGGCGACGCAGACACCGACAACGACGACACGGGCGACAAGCGGACACTGTAGCGGACAAGCGGTCTTTCAAGCATTCGAGCGGGCGGGGCCCTCACGGGTCGGGCGGGCGGGACACTAACGGGTGGGTCGGGCGGGCGGAACGTGGGAGCGGGTGAGCTGGTGGGGCATGGAATAGAAGCCTCGCTCGTTGCAGGACAAGACTCGACACCGTCAGCGTCAGCGTCAGGGTCGTCGTCATCAGAATCGTCGTCGCGATCGCCGCGTTCTTCGTCGACGCCATTGTCGAGCGTCGTCGTCGTCGTCACCACTTGCCATCGTGTCATGGGGGAGATTCGATCGAGCTGGATTTCTGTTGGGCCTAACTGGGCAGGACAACCCCACGCGTGCCAACGCGCGCCCACAGAAGGCACCCTTTCGGTAGCAGCGCAGAGTCGGAGGGTGGAGGAATCAGGAGGAGGAGAAGGAAGGAGGAGGAGAAGGAAGGAGGAGGAGGAGGAGGAGGAGGAGGAGGAGGAGGAGAGGCTAAGGAGGAGGGGAGAGGGAGAGGGAGGAGAGGGGTAGGAGGAGGGGGAGGAGGGAGGGGGAGGAGGGAGGAGAGGATGAGGGAGGAGGAGGAGGAGTATGGGGGGAGGAGGAGGGGAGGAGGAGGAGAGGAGAGGAGAGAAGAGGAGGAGGAGGAGGAGGAGGAGCAGGAGAGGGAGGAGCAGGAGAGGGCGGAGCTTAACCCCCCCCGCAGGATCGGCAGGGCCCACGGCGAGCGCGAACGCCATAGCGTGCGTGCCAGTTGGTAGGAGGCGGGAGGTGGGCAGGGAGGCGAGCCCAGACCCCCTCGAGTCATGACAAAACCACGACGGCAAGTTTTTCGCTATTTTAGACCATGTTTTGACCATTTTAGAATATTTGGGAACATTTTTGGAGGTTTTTTTTTTTAAAATGTATCCTCCGAATATCCCGTTGTAGGGGGACACGCCCGACCTGAGGCTGGGCCGCCGCCAGAGGGGAGGCGTCTCTCCCGTGTCGCGCCGCGGTGGTTGCCGGCGTTGGTCTGCTGTGGAGGACCCAGACGCCCTCGAGTCATGAACAAATCACGACGGCAAGTTTTTCGCTATTTTCGGCCCCTGGGGGCCCTCACCAGGCCTCGGGACCGTCAAAGAACGGCTCGGGATGAGAAGCGGGTCCAGGGGAATGGGTCGAGACCTCCCTGGGGGTCGCGTCATGAGGCGGAGGAGCAGGAGGACAAGGGGCAGAGGAGAGAAGCGAGGAGCAGCAGCAGGAGGCAGGAGGAGGCGGAGGAGGAGGAGCAGCACGGCGGGGAGGAGGAGGAGCAGGAGGACAGGGGGCAGAGGAGAGAAGCGATGAGCAGCAGCAGGAGGCGGAGGAGGCGGGGAGGCGGAGGAAAGGCATGGTGTGGGCGAGGCTGTTAGCAGGGTGGGGGATGGTATAGTCTGGGGCACCTGTTTCTGGGTGGCTCCAAGGCTTCGTCACCGCCTCCTCATGGTCCTTCCCATCCTTTCTCTCTCTCTCTCTCGCGTTTTCTACGTGTGTGCGTGTGTATGTGTGTGTGTGTGTGTGTGGGTGGGTGGGGGGGCGGGTGGATGTTAGTAGTAGCTGTTGTCTCTCTCTCTCTCTCTCTCTCTCTCCTGGTCACTCTATCTCTCTCTCTCTCTCTCGCTCTCTCTCTCTCTCTCTCTCGCTCTTTCTTTCTCTCCATATCCTTTCGCCATTCCTGTACGACGGCAAAGAAACCTCTACACCTACGCAGTGGCACACCACTCAATTCCTCACCCTGGCACCTCGAAATCCGCGGCGGAACGTACGAGCCCTCCCACCAGGATTCATCGTCCAGCTCCTGTCCAGCCCTCCTAACCCCTACTGGATATCCTCGCCCTCCTGGCCTTTTCCTCCGCCTCATCTTTCCCCCTTCGTCCTCTAGCTCATCCCATTCCCTCCTCCGCTTCCTCATCCTCCTCCTCTTCCTCATCCTCCCCATACTCCAACGCGCATGATAGTCCAACGCGCATGTGTTGGCAAAAGCTTCAACGTGCGCCCACTGCCCACGTCCTGGGAAGTTGTCTTCTCCTATCGTCGTCGTCGTCCTCCTCCTCCTCCTCCAAAACACAGACTCTGGGGATATATCCTTGAACTTGCCCGTGGTCACGAGCCTCTCCTGCTGCACGGTGGCCTCAGGAGGACCAGCAAATGAAGTATGCATACGAACTTCTCGAAGCGTGGTGCTTCGAACACATGTAAAAAACACTCACCCACTGGAGTTCTCCCCCCCCCTCGGAGGTCAGAAAAAGCCCAGAGCGCTCACAGACATCAACACTCGATCCTCCCTCCTCCCGCTTCCTGTGCCTTGCCTCGTCTCGACCCGAGCCTGACCACGATCCCCACCATAGCCGGCCAACACGATCCCGAACCGATGTGCACATCCTGAATCAGAAAGAGCGATCAACAGCTCCCCAATCCGCAGCCCCCCTCCCCCGTCGAGAGAGAGGATCGTAATTTGGCCCTCGGGTGCCTGTACCTTCATATATGTATGTGTATATATATCTATACTAGAACCACGCGCGCGCTTCGCGCGCGCTTAGGTTCTAGCTAGGAGGAGAGCTTGAGTCAACGAAAGTCGCAGGGAAGGGGGCAGGGGGAAGAAGGCCAGAGAGCGCTGAAGGATACAAATACTGGAGCCCTCTTGTGATTTTGAGGGGGCCTCGTCCGGCCGCTCGCTGGGAGTTTGACGTAGCTTCTCGGGAGCCTCTGAACCTGTCGGGGGCCTCCTGGAAGCAGGTTCGAAGCATTTTGGGGGCCGATTTGGGGCTTCTCGGGGCCTCCTTTGGGCCTCTTGGGGGTCTCCTGGGGCCTCTTGAGGGGCCTCCTTGGGGCCTCCTGGCGGCCTCTTGGGGCGGAAGGCTCGAGCTTGCGGTTCGTGGTCCCCCTCTGGGCCCCCTCTTGGGCCCGTCTTGGGGCCCTCTTGGGCCATCTTGGGCGCCTCTTGGGCCGTCTTGGGGCCCTCTTGGGCTGTCCTGGGGCCCTCTTGGAAGCTTCTTGGGCCGTCTTGGGGCGGTCTTGGGCGCCTCTTGGGCCGTCTTGGACGCGGTGAAAGCCCAAGAGGCGAACATGCGAAAAATATACATTTTCCCATAGGAATGGCACGATTTTTGCTTCTTGGGCCTCTCTTGGGCTGCCTCTCGGAGCGTCTTGGAGGCTTCTGGACCTTCTTGGTGTCATGACAGGCGTCTTGGAAGGCATCTGGAGCCATCGGAGCGCGTTCCGAAGCCGCCTGCGAACGATCTTGGACGGCGTCCGGCGGTCCGACGAGCCTCCGGGCCCCCCGGGGCCCACATTTGTGGTCGGGGTCCCGGCCCCGGGCCCCCGGACCCGGTGCGCCGTTATATGTATATGTGCAGATATGATATGTATCCCTCCTCCTCCTGGTCCTCATCCATCCGCCATTCTCACCCCTCCATCGTGTATCATCCTCGTCCTCGTCCTCGTCCTTCTCCCCCTCCTCCTCCCCCTCCCCCTCCTCCTCCTCTTCCTCCTCCTCCTCCTCCTCCTCCTCCTCCTCCTCCTCTCCCTCCCCCACCTTCTCCTCCTCCTCCTCCTCCTCCCCATCCTCCTCCTGTTCCTTTTCCTGCTCCTCCTCCTCCTCTATCATCATCGGTCCTTCCCCCCTTCATGGGCCATGGACATGGCAGGGTTATTCTTGTAACGTGTTCAAGCGGAAGCTGTCTCTTGATCGTCAAAACGGCCAAACATAGTATGACAAAGAACCCACCCATATGCAATTGTGAATATTGCAGGGCGGGCGGGACAATCGGGGAACTCCCCATGGGGCCACGAACCGCGTGACGGGTGTGTCAACATGGGGCGGGTACCGCATGCGGGCTGTGGGGGAGACGCATGCGATGACGGCCGCTGTGACCTTCGATAGAGCTCCCTATGGGGCCACGAACATGTGAGGGGCGGCCAAAAGTGAAGCGGGCGGGGGAGGCGCGCGCGAGGACGGCAGCAGAGACCATCGGTAGAGCTCCCTGTGGGGCCCCGAAACGTGTGAGGGGTGTGCAGGAATGGGTGGGTCGGACGCATGCGGGCGGCGCCAACAGGACATTCGGCGGAGCTCCCTATGGAGCCACGATCATCGTGAGCGATGTGCCGCAATGGGTGCGTCGGAAGCATGCGGCCGACGCCCCTAGGACCCTCGGTGGAGCTCCGAATAGGGTCACGATCCTCGTGAGGGTTGTCCCGAGATCGGCGGGTCGGACGCATGCGGGCGGCGCCCCTGGGACCTTCGGTGGAGCTCTTCATGGGGCCGCGATCCTCGCGAATGGTGCCAAGATGGGTGCGTCGGACGCATGCAGTCGGCGCCCCTGAAACCTTCAGCGAAGCTCCCTATGGGGCCAGGATCCTCGTGCGGGGTGTGCCGAAATGGGCGGGTCGGACACATGAGGCCGACGCAACTCCATATGGGGTGACGGGTGCTGAGCTGATGACGATAAGTGCGAATATAACGGCAATGAACATAATGCTGCTGATGGTAATATGATGAGGATGCTGATGATGATGACCATGGTGATGATGATGTTGTTGATGATGCTGATGGTGATGATGATGCTGATGATGATGGGGATGATGAGGACGGTGACGATGATGATGATGCTGATAATGCTGGTGGTGATGATGATGGGGAGAAGGAAGAAGATGATGATGGTGGCGATGCTGATTATGGTTATGTTCATGATGTTGATGGCAATGATGATGACGATGACGATGACGATGCCGATGATGATGATGATGATGATGATGCAGCTGATGATGATGATGGTGAGGATCCTGCTGCTGTTGTTGATAAAAGTGGTAGTGGTAGCGATAATGATGCTGCTCCTGCTGATGCTGATGCTGATGCTGATGCTTATGCTGCTGATGATGATGACTTAATGATGACGATGAGATGATGATGATCATGATGATGATGAAGATGATGATGATGATGATGATGGTTGATGGTGATGATGATGACGATCCTGACATGCGGAAAGCAGAGAAGGGGATGGGGGGAGGGAGGAGGCGAAGGAAAAGGAGGAGGAGGAGAAGGAGAAGGAGGAGGAGGAGGAGGAGAGGATAGGAACGCGGGGCGCTGCCTGGCCAAAAACGAGTACCCAATAGTTGGGAAAAAGATGCGACAAAATGGTGAAAAGAACGGTTCACCGAAACGGCCTGGTCAGTCCTAGGATACGAAAGGCGTTCGGAACCGGTAGAAAACTGCTCGGATCCGGTGTAGAAACAATGAGATTTGAACCCATGCTCCCACCAGGAGAACCGGGAAAGGCAACACCGCAGCGCCAGTCGCGTCAAACCAAGCTGCGCCAGAAACTGCGGGAACAGCTGCAAAAGGAAACCGAACTCGGACGCACGCTAGCATGGATTAGGGATACCTCTGCATCCTGCGCGCGGTCGCCAGATCCATGGATCGGGGAAGATAATGCGAGGCCAATTGGTATACACCACCACCGCCCGCAATAGTAACTTGCCGCAAAAAGGGTTAGGGGCAGGGTCATGCCAGACAACGCTGCGACGCCACGGCGAAAGGAGCGCGGCGCAGCTCGCAGGCGCCGTGGCATGGGGAGTCCCGGAAGCAGAAACAGCACTTCTTGTAGGAATCGCTCCTCTCGATAACCCCGAGAGATTGCGCCAGCGCCGCCTGATTTGGAGGCGGAGCGCGCCGATTCTGGGAGCGGGACCCCTCGCTAACCCATGCGACTCCATCCATGCCTGTGCTGCCTCGAAGACAAAACAAATGCTGTCGTTTCCAGGGCACGCTGGGCTCCCCCCTTTTCGCCGACGCGCTCTCTCTCCATCATTCCTCCACACCCTCCATGCCCCAGCAATCCCCATGCCTCCCTTCATCCCTGACCTCTCACCACAGCCCTCCCATCGCCTCTCATCTCCTCTGGTGCATCACTCCTTCCCACTTCCCTTGTCCTGCGTCACTCCCTGCCTGAAGCAAATGTGTCCCCACTCCATTTATCCCATCTATGTTACAGTTCCCTGCGTCTGCCTCGTCCTCCCCCAGTCGGCGGCGTGGGCGCCGAGCTCTGCTCGCACCCTCGAGCAATGAGATCATCATCAACAACACCATCCGCATCAACCTCATCTGCCTCACCATCGCCCTCAGGATCCACGTCGTCACCATCGCCGTCATCGTCACCACCATCACGTCAGCCATGATAGTTACTACCACCAGCAGCAACATCATAGTATCAGTATTAGTATAAATGTCGCCGTCGGCATCATCAACACCATAATCGAAAACGTACTTTTCCTTATCACCAAATCGGCATCAGTCTCGCCGTCGTGTTCACCCTCATCGTCATCCTCATTGTCACCATCATCATCGTCACAAGCGTAAACGTCACTGCCATCCGTGGGCATCATCACAACCATTATTCAACTCAAGTGCCACCTCCTCTTTATACTCCTCCGCATCATCATCCTCATCCTCATCCACCTCCTCATCACCCTCCACACTACATCCCACGTGCAGCCCGTCAACTCTTGCCGCCGCCGCTTGGACTCGCCCTCCGACGGCCTTGACCTTGACCGCATTCTCCTCCTCTTCCTCCTCCTCCTTCCTCCTCGTCCTCCTCCTCCTCCTCTTCCTCCTCCTCACTGCTCCTCCTCCTCATCCTCCTCCTCCTCCCTGCTCCTCCTCATCCTCCTGATCGCTCCCATCGCCATCGCCAAGGTCATCATACTCACCGTGCACCCTCCGCCGCGCGTGGCGACGGCAGAGGCGGGACCCCAGGAGAGCGTGGGCCCGGCAAGGGGGGAGCGTGGACCCCTCGGAGGGGGCATAGGGAGGCCTCCTGCACCCTGCTGATGAGGTAGGCAGACTCCTGCCCCGCCGCGCCGGGGCGGTGCCCGTGCACGCACCAGGCGGTGGGTGCTGCCTCCTCCTCCTCCTCCCCGCCTCCTCCTCCTCCTCCTCCTCCTCCTCCTCCTCCTCCTCCTCCTCCTCCTCCTCTCTTCCTCTCCAGGGTGAAGCGAGGGAGGGCCTTATGTTTCTACATTGGGCGACTTTGAGCATCGTGGCGTGTCTGTAGCGTCCGTGGGGGGCCTCCCCCTCCTCCTGCTTCTCCGCATCGTCATCATATTCCGATTATTCGTCCTCGTCCTCCTCCTCCTCCACCTCCTCCTCCTCCTTCTCTGATTATTCCTCTTTCTTCCTCTTCTTGGTCCTCCACCTCCCGATACTCCTCTGACCTGGCAAAAATGGACTCCGGGGACAACTTTCGAGTCTCACTCAAATGTTCTTTTTCATCCCATCCACGCCCTCCGTAATGCGGAATGTGAGCTGTCCCCGTGTCTCGCAAAAGGTTGTTGCCTCCACCGTCGTGGTCTAAGAGCAGCAGCTTCCATTTTTTAAAGACCCAATTTCCCTCGCTTTTCTTCGCACTGGCCCTGCTCAAACCGATCCTCTATCACAAGCCTCGTCATCCTGCTCAGTCTCACCATTTCATCATGATCAAACGGTATCCGGCTTTCGCTCGTCCTCCTCCTCCTCCTCCTCCTCCTCTTCCGAAGGCTTCCGCAGAGCTGACCTCGTTTTACTTCCGCCAGCCTCCACCCGCCTTCAACCGAGGAAGAGAGAGGAGCACAATCGACCCCTCGAAGGCAAGGGCCTTCACAGGGCTTCTCATCGGTGTTCCTCCCCCTCCTCCTCCTCCTCCTCCTCCTCCTCCTCCTCCTCCTCCTTTGCCTCCTCCTCCTCCTCCTCCTCCTCCTCCTCATCCCCCTCCTTCGCCTCCTTCGAGGCGCATCCTGCCGTGGAGATGGGGCCCGGTATCATCGAAGGGGGCAGAAGACATCGATGGCTGCGAAATGCGCCGTAGGTCTAGAAGGTACCCCAATCTCGGCGGTGGACAAGCCTCCCTTTAGTAAACCTCCCTTTAGTGAAAACGGCCCAGGACCGAAACCGACAGACCTGGACCCGCATAAATGACGGCCGCGACGCCCTCTCGCGAAGCGGCGAATCGACGTGTCAGGGTAGGAGGTTGATCATCCTCCGACAATCCATCTTTAGAGATGAGGCGACCGTCAGGGAAGTGCGGCAGACCTCGGCAGTTCGTACCAAGACAGACAGCACCCAGCGGCGGAAAGCCCAGGGTTACGGCAGAAAAGAGAGTGGCCACAAACTGCTTGGATTGAGGTTACCCATGTGGGGGGAAGGAGATATCCCCAGACCACCGACGTCATGATTTTTTCATGACGCGACCCCCAGAGGTCCGGACCCCTTCCCTGGGACCGGTTTTTCATCCCGAGTCGTTTTTTGACGGTCCCGAGGCCCGGTAAGGGCCCCCGGGGGCCGAAAATGTCGAGAACCCCCCCGTCGTGATTTTGTTCACGACCCGAGGGGGTCTGGGTCCATAGCCCCCCAAATACGGGATACGCGGTCCAGGCCTGCAATCCGGCCGTTCCCCGAGAAAGCCCAGGGGGGTTCTCTCCCACCGGCAGGTCTCCACGGTGCCGGCGGGCACGGAGCGGGCCCCGTCCCCGCAGACGGAGCCCTTCTGAGCCCCGGAGCAGCCCTGCAGGGCAGAGCGAGGGGCCAGCAAACTGTGGCCCACCACGGCGTCGAGCAGGAGCTCCCTTTGCCAAGCAAGCTACTGCCGAATATCCCATATCAAACGACCCCGCCTACCAACCAGACCCCCCTCCAGATGCGACCCGATATTCCGGACCCCCCTCTTCGACGGGGCGCCTCAATAAACTGGACCCCCTAAGCTCCAATCCAAAGAAAGCGCCCTAATAAATCCGACCCCCCCAGCTACAAAGAAGGCGCCTTAAAAACCGGACCCAGGTCGATCAATAAGGGATTTGGGAGATTGCCAAACCATATTGCCAGCACTGTGGGCCGGGCCTTTGTTGAGCTGGCCACCCATTGGGCAGTCAGACTACGGGCCACCCGTTTGGCTTGTGGCCCCTGCCCTGGTGAGATCGCGTGGAGAGAAGGAAGAAACCCGTATTGGCTTTTGCTGCGCTTTCTGCCTTCTGGCGGCGAAATCTCCGCGGCACTCCCCGTGCCGCAGTGGGCCATCTAAACCCCTGCACTGGAAACTACACATCATCGAACACCCATATGGGAGCATTCCATCTGGCGATCCGTCGACGGGCAGACTGGAAGCTGTCGTAGGTGCCTTCGGCTCTGAGCACCCAAAGCTACAACAAAACACTCCGCCGCTGAGATCAGCGGTGGGGCCTGGTCCACCGCCGCAGAGGTGAGGCAGGAGGCCTGCTGATGACCGCCCCGGCGTTGGGCCAAAGCGGCAACACTGCGGCCATGAAACGCCCTGCCAATGCAACGGACAGGAAGCCAGCTGGAACGGACCGTGGGGGCAGGTGGCAGGTCGAGAACAGCCCACGACCCACCGCTTCGACCTAGCGAGGCCCGACCCATACGCCTGACAAAAGTTCGAACGCTAGTGGATCAAGGGCCAAGGCGGCAGCCCTGACGCGACATGCAGCCTTGCGAAGAGGGGCTAAAGGAACACACAAAACCGGCCAACAACTCACGCTAGCACAAGCACGTGTGATATACGCACGCGCACACACAAAATTACACATACTCTCCGCTCGTTTAAAGTAGAATCGGTGGAACTAGGTCTCGGCTAAACTAGATCGGGAGCTTATGCGCCCGACTTCCGCAACTCCGAAAACTAGATCGGCCCGCTTACACTCTCATTGCCTAAAGCAAACTTCAATATTTCGTTTCGCCCCAGCATGCGCGTGTATCTCGTACTGTGGCGGTCGGCTCGGCTGCGCTGACTTTGCTCCAATTGGGGTCCATAAAGACGGGATCATTCTAGCGTCGGTCCGCACTGTCAGCCCAAGTCACTCCGAGCTCCAAATCTATCCAGGGTCAGTCTGGGATCAGCCGACTGGCCCTGAACAAGCCGGACTGACCCCGGCCTGACCACACTGACCCCGGGCCTGACCACACTGACCACGGACTGACCCCAGACTGAGATCGGACGGTCCCCGGGCGGTCCCTAGGGTGGACGTTCCCCGGACTGACCCCGGACTCCGGACTCGACCCCGGACGGACTGGCGCCCCGCGGACTGACCCCTGACTGACCCCGGACTGACCCCGGACTGACCCCGGATTGACCCCACTGCGCGCGGCGGGGGTACTTATAAGTACTTATGCAGTTACGCCAATTATAAGTAGCTCCTAAGTCGCTCGTAAGTAGCTGATAAGTAGTGTAAGTAGCTCGTAAGTAGCTCATAAGTAGTGTAAGTAGCTCATATGTAGCTAAGTTACTTAGGAGCTACTTATAAGTAGGGCAGCCTACTTATAAGTAGCGTAAGTACTTATAAGTACTTTGGCCTACTTATAAGTACTTACGGCCTACTTATATAAGTAGCGTAAGTTACTTACGAGCTACTTATGTAAGTGGCGTAAGTGCCACATAAGTGGCGCGTAAGTGCCACATAAGTGGCGCGTAAGTGCCACATAACTGCAGTTACGCAAACTAACGCCATGTATGGGCATGCATTTTCAATCAATATATATAACAGCGCGCGCGCTGAACAGGACGCCCAAAACACTTGTGACGCCAATGTCGTTAACCCTAAACCCTAAGAGAACCTTGGTGCCCGATCTGGAATATTGCGCGGGCGCCGTGGGAGGCATGCTGCGAAATCAATAGTTGTTTCATGCATTTGTGCTGCCGCTGGCCCAGACAAAGGTGTCAGCCACCCTTCAGTTGCGTTCAGCGCAGCCCCCGCCTTGCGTTTCTCGCATTGGGCTTGGGCCACGCCATGGCGGGTGAGACCATGCAGGCTCGCGTGGAGCGCGTCCAGGAGCAGATCTTCGACATCATCAAGGAGTATACGTGCAGCCATTGCCCCCCGATTCTCCAGTTGCGCGACCAGGCGGTGCGATTGTTGCGGAAGGAGGGTCTGCTGAAACGCCAGAAAACGAATGGGCGCTACGTGGCCGTGCACCCGCGGAACAGGTACGGCGATGGCATAATTCCATCCCACGTGCGCACGCTGGTGCGCAGTTTTTGCAGCGACGGGTTCAGCATGGATGAGGTGGGCGTGCCCTTTGCCATCGAGATGCCACCCCCATCTCACGAGCGCCACGCCGAGGCACTCGAGTTCAACGGAGACCTTGTCAAGGAATCCCACGGCTTCTTGCCGCCATACGACGAGGGCGAGATCAAAATCCTTAGCGTGAGCAAGTCGCACACGACCCAGGCGACCCGCTGCATTCAGTTTGGCAGCCCTACAGATTCAGATAACGTCGAGTTCGGTACCGACGGGAAGCTTGACATCCACAAGATCGGGTTGAAGCGCCCCACGTTGGCAGATGCTGCGAAGGAGGGGTTTGAATGGGACGTGCTTGTCTGGCAGGCTGAAGACGCATTCGGCGCCATTATAGACTTGCTCCAGGACCCGCTTAAGTTTGTGAAATCGATGGCCCACCCTTTAACTTTTCGATTGCCCCCGCCCCCGCCCCCCCCGCATTTATGTTGGCTTTAGCCGCGTTCAATCAGGAGTCTGGAAATGCTGCGCAGAAGGTTTCCATGAATGAGACTAGGTGGGAGACCTTGTTCAAGATGCACGGGGACGTGCAGAAGATCGTCGCCAACTTCGAAGCCAATAAAAAGGAGGGCGACATCTTGGACCCCGACGTCGCGTGGGGTAGGGCAATAACAAAAGCGCAATCCAGAAATCCAGATTTCGTTTCAGAGATCCAGAGTTTGGCGACGTTTGCGAGGAAGCTCGCTGGTGGACCAGACGCACCGAATTTGAAGGAGCTTCGGGCTTTCAACCGTTCGTGCCAGAAGCCGCGCATTGTGCAGGGCCCCGTCTTGGCGGCGGTGGCTGA